TATTGAGCTCTATAAGGTGATAAGATACCAAATGAGAGATTAAGAAGGGTCTGCATTAGTAAAAACACCAAAATATTCTCCCATTATGGTCATTACATTACGTATGTATGTCTAGTGTGGTATGGGATATGATAAGATTTGACCAATTTCTCAATCCAGGAACATTTCAAAGTGGGACACGATATGCAATTGATAATATCAACATCAATTATGGCAAGTCTATTAATCAAATATAATTTACTCCCTTGAAACAAACATAGCAAAATTGAACTAAGACTGTGTTTGGATGTTAGATTTATATATGAATTTGAAAAGGGAAATAGAAAACATGGGTGAAAAATGAATCAAATATAATTATACTGTACCTAACTATTCCATTTCTCTATCTAAATTCGTGATCCAAACGCAGTCTAAATGTTTCTAATAATAGTTGAGAATAAATACTTGAATAGTCTTGACTGCTGGCTTGTTGAGATGCTTAAGTCGCTCCTCCAACTCCAAATCTTCTTCTTTAGTTAAACTCCTCCAGTCTCCTTCAATTCCATTGTGTCCCACAAGGTGAGAGCATACACAGAGAAATAATACAATAGCATGTACGTCCATGGGATGATCTGGAAAATAATAAAAAAGCATAGTCAGTGATCAAAAATCACAACAATCATGCTATAATTATTTAAGGCAATTAATGAAATTACAATCGTACTATATCTATACACATAAGGTTCACATATTTTATTTTTGAACAAAATATGTTAATAGTCCTTAAAGTATGTGTTTATTGTCATTTTGGTTCTTCAAGTTTTAATTTTGTCAATTTCATTATTGAAATTTCAATTTGTTCCAATTCTAAGTGTACCTTCTAAATAGCTAACGGAATGGTAATAAAATACACACATGTTCTTTAAAGTATATGTTTCTTGTCACTCGTATTACTTTGGTCCTTGAATTTTTAATTTTGTCAATTTGGTCATGAAACATTAATGAAGAAAATAAAACCCATACAATATAAGGACGAAATTGATAAAATTGATACTTGAGAGACCAATGACACAAAATACACATTTTTAGGACCATAGTAAAATTTATAATTATTTTTTCTTAACAATTTAAACATCCGTTTTGAAATTATATTAATTTGACTCAAATTGACAATTTTGAAGGAAAATGACGAAATATATATATATATATATATATTTATCTGCAAAATGAACTTTTATTAATGAAAGAAAGAAAAAAGAGGCCAATAAGCAGTGGCGGAGCCAGAAAATCAAATTTGAGGGGGCACTTATTAATTATATTATTGAAAAATTTTACAAAAATATTTAACGCAAGTTTTAACGATTGATTTCGAGGAACATTAAAAAAAATAATGTTATTCATAATTAGTGTATCATGGACAATATAAAAAAATATGGATATAAGTCTTAAAATAAATTATATAATGATAAAAAAAATTATACAAATTTGATTAAAAATTCAATATAATGGTAATACCACGTCATCATTAGTATGTGATATCACCAAAATAGTAAATAAACACATAGAGAGTGAACCTCGCATGTCAGATGTAACTAACAATGCAATAAATTTCATATCTTTATAGTGATATTACTTATACTTGCATGTCAATAATTATGACATCACCGTTACATTCAAAAAATTTCATAGATAATATGGTTTATAGTAGTCTCTTCATTTTCAATTAAAATAACCATTATTATTCTTATAATTTTTAAATTTCATTAACATTTCACTATAATAATATTTTTGTAATTTTTTTTATTTAAAATATTTTCTTTATGTTTGCAAAATTTAAAAAAAAAAAAAAATATATTCCCAAAATCTAGCGGTGGCACATGACCTCCCTGGGCCTTCAGTCCCTCCGCCACTGCCCATGACGCTATCCTATTTCCCCCCAACTTGAAGAAAATTATTACAAAAACTATATTTACCTAAAAGTACTTTAGCAAACAAAGATGTCAGATTAGAAATTAACCACCAAGCTTGTTTTGCTAATAATGCTTGATTGAAAGAACCCAAATCTTTAAAGCCAAGGCCTCCCTCCATCTTAGCTACACACAAACTATCCCATTTTTCCAACACAGCCCTTGTTCTTTATCTGATTTTCGTAAGAAATGACGAATTATAGCCGTTATTTTTTTAATGACTTTACATGGCACTTTAAAGACTGACATGATATATAACGGAACTGCTTGTAACGCATGCTTAACCATAATACACCGACTAACAAAATTTAACAAACCATATTTCCACCCCTACAACTTCCTAACAACTTTATCTACCACGGCATTAAATAACATAGTTTTTGACTTACCCGACCAATCCATGGACACCCCCAAGTAGACTCCAAGATTAAGTACCACTTTAAAGTGGAAAATTGACTCCAACATATACCATTCCCTAGCACCAAAATTGGGACTTTGGTACAACTTTGATTTGTTAATGTAAATCCTTAAGCTCGTTTGTTTACAAAACACATTTAACAACCATTGCAAACACCATACTTCCTCCCCCTTAAATTGCATAAATAAAAAACAATCATTTGCAAACATCAAATGGGAAATTGGAGGTGAATCCATACTGATGGCAATACCCTTGCAAATACCCTACTGAGCAAAATGAGCCAATCCCTCAGATAATGCTTGCATGACTATTATAAATAAATAAGGCGACAAAGGATCCCCTTGCCTCAATCCAGCTTGTGGAGTAAAAAATTCTGATGGTTGGCCATTTAGAAGGATGGAAAAAGAAACTATTGACACACATTGATGTACCAGCTGGATCCATCTTTCACTAAACCCCATACGACGAAGGATTGAAATTAAGAAATTCCAATCAACCAGGTCATAAGCCTTATTCATATCCAATTTTAACCCAAAAAACATTTTTTCCCCCTTCTTTCTATGTCTGATAAACTCCATCAGCTCATGTGCTAGCAACATATTATCTGAAATGAGACGACCTCTAAGAAAGGCATTTTGGTAAAATTAGATAAAATTACAAAAACATGAAGTAAATTAAAAATATTAGTAATTCAATGAAATATTTCTCAAATTGCAAAATTAATGAAAGCTTTGAAAGTAAT